AATGGGATTTAATGAACAAGCAAATTAAATATATTTTAAATAAGATGAAAATGAAAGAGCTAAGGACTAAAATCAGCTAAAATGTTCTTGAATAAAACGTGTTACAGTAATGTACATTTGTAAAAAAAATATGTCATGTCCTTTTTTAGAAGTGTTTTGACAGTTCAGAGCCACCAAACACGTGAACAGCAAGATACAGCATGTATTATTTTAGATAATGCGGCATAAATTCATCCTATTAGGCTTTTTAGATTCTTTTGAACACATATCTCCAGTGCATTTTATATTTGCACGAATAAACACAGACACTTCCTTTTACACTCTGGTAAAAATAGATTTATTTGATCACAGCTCAGAAATACTCAGTGTCTCGTACCCCTGTCAGGACAGTTTAAATTGGAAAGAAATAATTCTTTTGAACTCATTATCTTCAGATTCATTATAAAAACAATGCACATAATAATGGTTGAATAAAACTCAACCAATCAGATATAAAATATACTTGCTTCACATTTTATTTTTGTAATCGTTGTTAGGTATAAAATAAATGGGTGAACTTAATTTCATATTCATACTGAAAAGCATCACAGGAAAAGTTGTACAGTACCATGAAGTCATTCAAAAGACAGAGATCATTTCACTCGTCTTGGAAATCACAAATAAAACCTCAGACCTTTGTAACAGAATAACAAACAAAACTGTAGTAGAGTTGAAATGACCATCTTATAAAAGCCCATGTGTGCAATTCCTGCCTGATCTCACAAGAAAATGTAGATATTTTACGTTTTGTAAGTTTACTGAATTCATTCTACTATACTGAGTTCAGTCGTATGAAAATATACGTTTTTAAAAAGCAGAAAGGGCACCCAACCCCACCTTTAAACCCAACCGTCACTTGGTTGATGAGCAAATCATACGAAATTGTGCGAATTAGATTGTACGACTTTATATGAATTAGCCTCTAAATCAAAAAGTTATGAATTGCTGTGAAATTGCTTTGCCACTTCTGATGTTGAAAAATACATTTTCTTCAATTACATTAAAAAGCTGGTGTCCTTTTTCTGCAATAATTGACATGTCATTTAGCTTTATGTGTATGCTTTATGTGTATTGATGTGGAACAGCTAAGACTAAATAATAGCCCCTCAAAATGAAGGATGGTATGATCGAGTATGATCAGGGCGGACAATTTGATCAAAATAAAAATTGGGGGCTACTACAAAACATAACAGACATTGTTTTCCATGACTCGTCATATACCCGTATAATTTGTTTATTTAAACCCACTTTATATTTGTCTTAAAAATTATGTGTACTAATAAACAAATTAATAACTTGATACAATGCACTTATTGTGTAAATAGATGATTCATATTTTAAAATACATGTTTCTAATTACAGCTGCAATCCTCATTTTGTAATTAATTACATCTGTAATTACATGAAAACATATCCATACCCCTGAATGTGTCCATTACCCTATAACTTAATTATGTCCCTATTAAAGCCGACTCTAATCTTAAAAGTATCCCACCTTTAAAGTAATAGTTTACTATTACTAACACCCCAAACTAAACATTCAGTCATTGTTTACCTGCCCTTCACAAACTTTGTTTTCAACAGGAAAAAACAAAACCCATAAAAGTCTGACGCCATTAGAGGGTGTGTAAATATTGAGTACATTTTCATTTTTGGGTGACCGCTAAGAATACATCTGTGTTTAAATTTAACTGTAATCCACATTTATTCAAAAACAAACCCTAAATCTTGACATTATCCCACACTTAACCCTATGCACATATTAACATTCCTATACCTTTCATATAACTCTAACCAACCTTTAACTAATCTTTAGAACTTCCCTTAGCATAATATCTCGTTAACCCTGACCAAATCTCTCTTTTTACCCTTTGGGAGTCACCTGAGAATACTCATTCTGCTAAAGCTCTCCCTAACCTTGTTTGTTTACACCATTTACCCTTTGGGAATACCTTAGCTTAACCACACCTCATAACCTGTCCCTAATCTTTAAGGGACAGTTCATCCAGAAATGAAAATTCTGTTTACTCACCATTTACTTTTTCCATACCTGGCTTTCACAAAAGAAGATATTCGGAAAAATGGCCAAAAAAATTGAATTCGATTAAGTATTTTTTAATCACACTGGATGTCGATGTTTACTGTTTTTCTAATATTCCTCAAAATTGTGCACTGCTTACGATTTTTGTAAATTGCAAAGTATTAAATATATTTAGAACTGCATTTTACTGTAGAACTTTTAAGCAGTATGTTGTTGTATTTTAAAACAGCATTGTGACAACTTACTGTATATTATGCAGTAACGACATACAACGCAATACATATACAGCAAGATAAATGGTACCATAAACATAATACAGTATATACCGTACTTTTGCTGTAAGTTTACAGTAAGTTACTGGAGAACTGCTGCCAGCAAGTTACTGTTGATTTTTCATGAAACTGTTAACAGTGTGTTTAACCAGCCTGATCTCATGAGTAAATGTTTTCAATTTACATTTTTTTAAACGTTTTGTCAGTTTATTGTCTAATTTGTACAAGCTCAGTTGTATGAAAATGTACGATTTTATAAACGAAGCATGACACCCAACCTAGCCCCTAAAGCTAACAGTCAAGGATAAGCAAATTGTACTAAATTGTACAAATGAGATCATACGAATTCATATGAATTATAAATCAAAAAGTTACAAATTGCCATGAGATTGTGTTGATTTAACAGAACAAAGAAACTTAAAGGTTTTGAAAACACTTGAGGGTGAGTAAATAGTAAACATTTTTTTTTTTTAATCTTAAACAGGACTTAAACCTACCCATAATCCTATATCTGTCCTTAACCTTAACCATATCCCACCTCTATAGCAGCAACAGCCTTACGACACATCATAAACACAATATTGGCATTGTACCAAATAATTAATTACATAACAGTTAAAGACAAGTAAAGTGGGATTGTCCATTGTGCTTTTTCCATTGTCATTCCCTCTTCTAAATTCGACATAGGCTCATTCTGAAAATATAGGCCTTTTAACATTTCTGAAGATTGCAAATGATTAAACCAAAAGAACATATGGCTTTATTTCATCTTTGAAACGATTGCTATGGGGCGTTATGAAGCTGTTTCTTTTAGTGCTTAACAGCTGATGCTTAACTTTATGTGGATGGCTTTCCTATTGATACCAGTTTGTCCAGTAGCTCGCTATGTACTTTGGTGGACATAAGACACAGAGAGGAGCTGACCACAATGACAGGGTTTGAGTCTGGCAAAGAACGGTTCCAGAAAGCAGGTAAGACAAAAACAGATGCTTAAAAATTAAATAAACAGATAAATAACAGGGTGAGAATGTGGTAAATCTGAAAACATAATAAAATCAGGCGCAGGCTTTTCTTTTTCTGGATTGTCGTTTAAAACTGTTGGTTTCTGCGGGGTCCTGAAAAGTCTCAAAATTTTAAGCCTGAATTTTAGGCCTGAAAAAGTTTTAAATTTGCAGTTCTAGGTCTTAAAGAGATAACCAGATGACCAATAATTCTTGGCTAGAAATTGAAACAGTCAAGGAAAGCATTTTGTTAAAAAGTTTGGAAAAACCTGAGGCATAAGTTTGTTAAAACTTAAAAAGATGCCATGGCAAATGAGGAGACCCGGAAAATGTTTCTCCACCATTTATAGGTTGTACAATAATGTATAATTTTGAAGTTAAAACATTGTATTAGCTACAAACTAAAATTAAGTAACAAATTATGGATGACTTTAGAAGAATATTTAAACCTATCGGTTTACTGATGATGCCCAAATTCTAGGCTTTATTGGTGATAATGAAATGTTGGACAATTACAGTCTTTTTTATTTTAGAAGTAGAGGACAGAAACTAGCCAGACAGTAATGTGTGAATTGTGGAGTGGGCAAAATAAATAAAAAAGTTTCTTGCCATAATAAAAAATTATAATTGTAGAGCAACAAATTTTCTCTTGCCACTGATATTTAATTTTATTAGGTATAACTGTCCGAAAAAAAAAAAAAAAATCTTGAATGGTTATAAAACCTTATTATTATTCATTTTATTCATTTTCTTTTCGGCTTAGTCCCTTTATTAATCAGGGGTCACCACAGCGGAATGAACCGCCAACTTATCATGCACATGTTTTACACTGCGGATGCCCTTCCAGCAGAAACCCATCACTGGAAAACACCCATACATTCTCATTCACACACATTCACTTCATACAATTTAGCTTATCCAATTCATTTAATGTGCATGTTTTTGAACTTGTGGGGGAAATCGGAGCACCTGGAGGAAACCCACTCAAATGCGGGGAGAACATGCAAATTCTACACAGAGACGCCAACTGACCCAGCCAAGGCTCTAACCAGTGACCTTCTTGCTGTAGGGCGAGAGGGCTACCAACTGGGCCACCCCGTCGCCCAACTTTGTAATCATAATAAATTATAAAAATAATAAAAATAATTAGTTTTAAAATCTTAATATTAATGACATGACGTAATTCCGGAAAATTCCTAATTCTCTGTTAATCCGTTTGACTTTACGGTGGGTTTCTTTTGACCGCCCCCTGTCATTGTAAAGAATATCACAACGACGAACACGTCTAGTATAAAAGCCTCGACTATTTTGTGAGGTGACTGTGCACGATGCAGCGCCAGGTGAAAGTATAAATCAGCCTTAAAATGTTTAATTGTTTGTTTTATTCCTGTAGTTTAATGGTGCATCTAACCTGTCTTTAGCACTGTTCAATTTAAATAATTATATTTTACCACAAAGATTGTGATTTTGCATTTTATCTTGCGTGTTTTGGATAACGTGATATAGGTCTTAAATTTAATACTTAATGGTCTTAAAAAGGCTTTAAAAAGTCTTAAACCTGACATTATTTGCACATTATTCTCAAAAATTGTACAAAGCAGCCTTACATGCATTTGCGAAAACAAAACCAAAAAAAAAAGTACTACGTTTTCAGAATGAGCTTGCGTTGTCTGAATTCCAATGCCAATTCCCTTTTCGTTCTTTTATATAAAATACAAAATATCAAGCTTACAGATTCGACTGGAATGTAAAAAGGTAGACATGTACAGTATACACAACAAACAAGATAGGCAGCCGAGTGAGTATATTATCTTCAAATAAATTATTATAAAATAAAGTTCTATGCTTTTTACAATTCATTATTTTCCAAACAACAACAACAAAAATCAGTCCCAGCCGAAATCATGGCCGGTCATGTGGTAGAACTTCTTGTTAAATGGCTTGTAAAAGTCCCTCAGTCTTTGAATCACCTCAGGGTTAATGTTGGGATGAGTGCGCCCTTTAGTTTTGCCCAGACAGTGCGGTTTGCTGTTGCTTTCGGGTCTTTTGAGGCACGGGAAGCCCTTAGCAGGGTTAAAGTGAAAGTGTTTGTGCGTCACCTCCCTCCTTAGGCCCAAAAAGTGCTGTACTCGAGCCATCTCTCCGGATGGATCACTAATCAGCCGCTCGCCACTCACAAACAGCAGCTGGCTCATGGGGAAAAACTGCAGCCACCGCTCCAGGTGTCTAGCGTACATGCCGATCTGCACCGCACTCCACGATGTGTCGATTACATTAGTGCTGAGGTTTTTAAAAGTCAAGCTCTCGAAGGATGGGATGTCCGGTTTTTTGGAGCGGGTCTGCGTGTAGTCTGAGATGGCTCGGGTTACTGGGTCTCGCACCACGACTATCAGTTTGGTGTCTCTGGACATGGCGTGGATCCGGCCTGGAACCTCCTTGGTTACAAAGTAGCTGGGGGTTTTCTCCATAGTCAGCTGACCGTCCAGCGTTTTGGGCATTAGTTCCCTAGGAGAAGAGAGACACTGGTGAGCATTAAAAGAGGATTTGACATGGTAGATGTGAAACGCAAATATGAAAAGCAGCAAGAGGCTCATGATTCACACATATTTTTGTCTGAAAGAAGCTTAAAGAGGGGAGTCTCTGCATCAAAATGAACACCTTTGGATAGTGTAGGGTCTATTTCACATTAAGTGGGCAAGATGTTTGTTGACTTTGCAGATTGTTTCTAAAGAACACCATCCTTTTATTTAATTTTTTAAAAATGTTTGAGTACTTAAGTTTAAATATTTGTATATGAATTTGACCTCGATTTTAATCAAATATTGCTATTACATTGCAGACATTATTTCAAAGAAGCATCAAGCACTGAGTGTTGAGTCCAGAGCGCAGGGCGCAAAAGCATTAAGGGCATGTCTAAATCCACTTTTGCTATTTTAAGGGCAGAAAAATTAGTTTTGCGCTGCAGCGCATGGTCTAACAGTGTTTAGCTTATTCTCTTAATGAGTATTAGGTGTGTTTTGAGAATAAACCAATCACAGTCTAATCTTCCATTCCCTTTAAGAGTCAGTTGAGTCATGCCTTTTTGCTATTCACGCATTTGCTATTTACACGATGGACTTTGTAAGTGGAAAACTGAACGCTTCACTAGAGAGAAAACAGTTAAACAGAGCATTTACATTCGAGAATGAGAGATGAGCCTCCTCATTCTTTACTTTCACTTTCGCTCTCGTGGATAGGGAAACATGTATGCAAACATCCTTTAGCCTATACATAATTAATTTAGTTTATTAAGCGCAAAGATTTGTTTCAAAACTATTTTTAAATTCATTTTTAATTTCCAGAAAACAATTAAATGAACAATAATAACGAAGTGTGGTCAAAAAACTGAGTTATTTTCAAATACACATGCTACACCCCGTATGATCTAAAACCTGACAGGTGGACAAATCTAAGCTGGAAGGAGCTTGGAGAAAAGCCGCTGCTCCTCTACATCGAGAGAAGTCAGCTGAGGTGGCTTGGGCATCTGTTTTGAATGCCTCCTGGATGCCTACCTATGAATGAATGAATAATATAATATAATATAATATAATATAATATAATATAATATAATATAATATAATATAATATAATATAATATAATATAATATAATTCTTCTTAAAATTATTCTATAATAACAGCATTCTAACAAGAAAAATGTTATGTTTGTTTAAAATGCAAAATTTTATAATTTTCTTTGTAATATTTTTATATTATATAAATACCTTCAATTGCATAAAATTTTATTTATTTATTTATTTGTTTATTTTTTGCTTTGAGTTCAGCAACAAAATCTGCCAATTATTACATTTTTTCAGACATGGTATGTTTCAATGTATGTATGTATCAATGTAGGGTGATTTCAAGCTAAATTTTTAATTGGACATATTTCATAAGTCACATTATACCCAGCCAGCGAAGGTAATCTGCTTGAGCACTAGTGACTGAAGACTGCACTTGTATACTGTATATTATAAAGTTCATTTATTCATTTTCCTTCGGCTTATCCCTTTATTTATCAGGGGTCGTTACAGCAGAATGAACTACCAACTTATCCAGCATATGTTTTACAAAGCGGATGCCCTTCCAGCTTCAACTCAGCACTGGGAAGCACCTGGATAAAACCCACACAAAAGAACATGCAAACTCCACACAGAAATGCCAAATGACCCAGCCGGTATTCGAATCAGGAACTTTCTTGCTGTGAGGCGACGGTGAGCCACCGTGTCACTCTATTATAAAGTTACTATTCATCAATAAATTAAATTAAACCCCAAAAGAAAAGACTTCCTCCTCCTCCTTATACTTCCTTTAATCCTTCTTACAGTCTTAAAATAATCTTCCTGTGTGACGACACATGCTGTGGCTGGATGCAGATTACCAAATAAATCACACAAAGGCTTCAAAATGTACATAATACATTTTTGTATTATGTACAAACATGTATTATGTCCTCCTGTCCCCCCATGTTTTATTTCTAGCTTTGTGCTTGTGTGTGTAGATTTCGTTTGGCTCCCATGATGCCTGAATCAGCAGAATCAGAGCAGCTGCTGCAATTGGCAAAAGAGTTTTTAAACTTCAAGTGCTGAATTGGGTCAAGAGAGGTTTTATAAGACTAGGCAAATATCATAATGCACATGATGATAAGAACAGCAAACTAAGGGTCAATAAAGGGTCAGAAAAAGGTGCAATGAGGACAAGACATGGATGCTGTTACTTACGATACAGTCACACCTACAATTCTTACAAAAAAATGGTAACGGTGTCATGATGAATAAAGTATCTTCTTATATCATTCAATCATTCATTCATTCATTCATTTTGCTTCAGCTTAGACCTTTATTTATAAGGGGTCACCACAGTGGAATGAATCACCAACTTATCCAGCATATATTTTACGCAGTGTTTCCCAGCTGCAACCCATCACTGCGAAACATCCATAAACACTGACACACATACACTATGGCCAACTTAGTTTAGTCAATTCACATATACCACATGTTTTTGGACTCTGGGGAAAACAGGAGCACCTGGAAGAAATAGAGGGAGAACATGCAAACTCCACACAAAAAAATGCCAACTTGAACCAGCAACCTTTTTGCTGTGAGATGACAATACTAACCACAGAGCCACAGTGGAAAACTGTAAGTTTCACCAACAGTAATACACAGTTAATTTAACATTTACTAGCTGCCAACCTTGCTGCCAGTTCTTTACATTTTTTTAGTAAACAGTAGACTACTGTAATTTGAATTAATAATAATATACCATTATTTTTACAGTAACTTGCTGACAACCTTGCTGCCAGTTCTTTACTTTTTTTAAGAAACAGTAGACAACTGTTATTTCTATCAACGATAATATACCATTATTTTTACAGTAACTTGCTGGCAACCATGCTGCCAGTTCTTTATTGTTTTTCTTTAAGATACAGTAAACAACTGTAATTTTAATCAACAATAATCTAACAATAATTTTACAGTAACTTGCTGGCAACTGTGCTGCCATTTCTAACAGTATATATATTAGGAATTTAAAAATATCACCCACGTAACTACCTTTAAATACAAATGCAAATAGAGTGTTTTTAAAGTCACTGAAATAGATGTAATTCTATGGAAAAAGGGGCAGAAAATGCTCATAAACTGTTGTCTTAGAAAACATTTGCAATCATGTAATATGGGCCCTGTCAACAAGATTTATGTTTCTGCACTATTTGGGAAAGCCTGTCAAATATTCCCCTTAAAACAATAACAGATTTTTCTGAAGCCTTTTATAGCTTCACAGTGACAAGGGTTTTGACAATGACAAATGTTTGAAAGTAAAATTAGCTCTGGGGCTGAAAGAAATGTTGCCACAATGATTACGCCATTAATGAGGTAGTTATATTTATACACACAAGCATTACTAGACAAAGCCTGTTGTCTTAACCTCCCCTTCAAGACTACTTTTAATAGATAATATTGAAGCAATTACTGGCAATAAGTATAGAGGCAGTGAGGGTTTGTACTGTAGAAAATGAGCATGTTTTGATGAGTCAGGGGATTCATTTCAGCAGGTTGAGCTCATTAAACACCAATCACAATACTAAAAAAAAGTATATGCTGCATCTTGAGCAATCTAAGAAACCTCTCTTACTAATCCTCTAATGATTAACCCTAGAATTATCATAATTCTATAAATTTATACAGTTGAAGTCAGAATTATTAGCCCCTGAATAATTTTAATAATTCATTTATAATAACTGATTTATTTTATCTTTGCCATGATGACAGTAAACACTATTTTGCTATATATATATATATATATATATATATATATATATATATTTAAGGCACTTCTACACAGGTTAAAGTGACATTTAAAGGTTTAACTGGGTTAATTAGGTTAAATAGGCAGGTTAGGGTAATTAGGCAAGTTATTGTTTAATGATGGTTTGTTCTGTAGACTATCGAAAAATAGCTCAAAGGGCTAATAATATTGTCCTTAAAATGGTGTTTAAAAAAATTAAAAACTGCTTTCATTCTAGTCGAAATAAAACAAGCAAGACTGTCTTCAGAAGAAAAAATATTATTAGACATACTGTTAAAATGTCTATGCTCTTTTCAACATAATTTGGGTAATATTGGAAAAAAAAGTCAAAGGAGGGCTAATAATTCTGACTTCATCTGTATAAGACCAAGCAGTCAGTTTAACCTTTCATAATGTTTTACACATCAAATGCATTATTTTCACATTTAAATTATAACAGCTTATTTTGAGACTTAAGAATGAATATAGCTTATTCATGTATTAATTGGTTAATTGATTGATTGGTTGTAATAACTGTAAGCATTGCCAAACTGAAAGTCACTCAACATCCAGTAACTGGTCAGAAAAAAGTACTGATTTTCAATCATATTTTGATTTGTTTGTGAAAGAAACTAATCGTAAGATGCAATAATTAACCAAAGAATCACTAATATGCATGTAAATGAATATTACTTAATAATTAGTCTGCTCTAAAAGAATATACCTAATATCCAGGCCCAGTTTGGCTAATCTTTTGGCCATTTTTTGGCTGCGAGGGCCAGTGTCCCTAGCTACTTGCACTCTCAGCAGTCACACTTTTTAGTTATTTATTTTATTTGACCATAGTTTCACTCTTTTTATTCATTATTTTAACACAGCTCCGCTCTTTTCTCGCAGCCCCGTAAGCAAAATGCAGTCTGAAGGTTGAAGACGTAATTTTCATTCGACCCCAAAAAGCGGCACCTTGCTCATCGGCAAAATCATTTAAGCACTATTATAATAACACCCTTGTGGTTCAGTGGTCAGCACATTGTGTTACGATGCTGCCGATGTAAGTTTGAACCTCACCTGAGTAGTTAATTTTATTTACATTTTTTTCATTGTTAGTGTTAAGACATATAATACTGTTTATAGGTGTAATAATTATATAATACTTAGGTGTACATATTTTATTTAT